TGTTTATACATATGGAAGTTTTAAAGAAATACAGTGAGCACGCAGTATCAGAAATTTCTTAATGAAGTACTTAGCATTTTTACGGGAAGACATGTATACAAAATTCTTATAATAAACTTAAAGAATCAAGGAGAGCGCAAAAGTAACAGAAGGCGTGACCTGAGCAAAAATGCTTACAAGAGGCATTTCGCCCTTCTCTCATCGTCCATTAAACAGATCTCTAGATTTATATTAAGTAAACTATCCAAGAAGTGCAGTAAAATGTATGTATTTGGTAAAGTATCCAAGCCTCGCAGACGGTAATATCTTTCAGACGCGCAGACGACAATATCTTCTAAAATAATCTCAAAGCCAAAAAAGAAAAAGGAAACCTGAATGGTGTGATGTCTATATAAGGAGAAATATCCAATATGACGTAACATAGTGGTACGATATTGTCGTACGATGCTTCAGACAGACAATCATAATAAAAGGAAAGAAAAAAAAACAACCGAATTTAAATATCGAGACATTAGTCTGTGTAAGAAACTATCAAATCATGAATAAATATTCCCCCTGCGTCTTATCCAGTACTCTTATATAGTTCTCTTTTGGACAATGTCCATAACAATTTGATTTGAAAAAAAAGAAATTGCCTATACAAGTGCAATAAATAAATTATGAAAGTTATTGTACTGTTGCTCGTGGCATTCATTCTTGTTCATAGTTATTGTAAATATTGTTCTGGTTGGAGGTTAGTGTGTATTTATAGCGTTAATGGAATAAAAAAGGTATTGCAAATAAGAAATAAAGGGATAATTTTCAGATTATTTTAGACTGGATTTTGTATCGGTCGGTATAAACTTATTGACTATACAAGCTCGAATATTAGTTTGTACTTTTAAGCTGGAAAAAAATAAAGTCAATGTATGCTGTAGGCACATATCTACAAAAACCACAGCACTTGTTTCCCTATATCTCTTTATCATGCTTACCAGCACATGAAACTCATAAATATCACGTGCCGCGCATTACGCATGCGCGTGTGCCGCGTGCGCGATGCCATAACAACAATAATAGTCACAGGTGAGAAAGTGCTTTATTATAAAAAATAATTTCAAGCTATCTTTTATGTCTGACATTAAAGTCTCAATTAATCGGAGGTTATATGTATTAATACATAGAGCTGACTGCGAATCTTCGTTGATTATAGACCTATAACATGAATACGTGTTCATTATTTAATTATTGAAGCCTCTCTAAAGCGTGGGAAAATATGATAAAAATAATTACATACATGTGGCACACATCATATCTTGTGTAAAATATGCACGGGTTGTCGTCTGATGTTTTGAAAAACAATAAGTGCTTCCAGTTTCTAAAGTGACTCGTCTGTATATTTGTGTATATACCGACAAGCTTTGCTATTCTATCCCAAACATCATAGTAATTTTTTTGTATCTCAAAGACCTGTTTATATCGTTTGTAGAAGTTATTCTAGCTCAGTGCTTCGTGACAATTCCGGATGACAAAGATAAGTAAACATGCGTTCTGTTTATAGAGGATGTTGATTGATTTATCTGAAAAATAATATTATTATAATAATTAATGATACATTTTTTTAGTAAAAATGTGTTTCAAAAGATTTTTCCCAGTTATCTTTTTGTTTGTTTGAAATGTTGAATAAATTAAGTCTACTAAGTCAATGTTTTAGCTAGATCTTAGAAAAGTTTCCATCTCAATTTGGAAAAGATTCCATACTTTGAATTTGCCCTTATGGCCTTGAAATTGAATATATGCAATGAATTTGATAAGACTGACTGTTTTTTTTATTAAAACAAATAATTCTCTTTTATTGTGACATATCGTCCAATCTTATAGGTAATCTAAGACAATCAAGCTAGCCGGTGTCCATGTAAGATTTCATATTTGTACACACGATCAGCTGGTCCGTATCTTTCTTCTGGAAGCGGCAAATCAAGACAACTAAGGTTAGGAATGGCCGCTGATAGATTGAAATGATACCCCTTTATACTGATTGTGGATATCACAGTGGTTGCGTAAATATTTACTCGTCTTTTCTTCCGAATTTACAAAACATTTTGACAGATGGTACGGCTTTGTACATGAGGTCATGTATACATTATATGATTTTCTATGAAACATATGTTTTACTAAACATGGAAAGCAGTCGCTATGGTATATATCTCCCCAGTTTAAAAGATAATAAGCCAGATATGAAATGATTGTCTGATTTTATAAATGTAGGCAATGGAATATTTACTAAACAATCCCTTGCTTTCATACATTTCATATATTTTGATGTATTAACGCCAGGGTACAACTTATTGGTCTAACAAAGCTTTATGATAATTATCTGTTGTTACAAGAAACGAATATTATCAGAGAAGTACTAACGTTTGTTGACGTATCTAGATGACATAATTTAAAGAATTTTGTCTTGAAAAGATAAAATATATCCTTCAACTTCATACTTCAAACAAATCGAACAGGACGCCAGGAACTATTTCCGGTTCCGGTTTTATATCTTTGACATTGACCTTTTTATAACATATGCTCTATAAAACGACTTATGTTTGTTTTGTTTTTCTGAAAAACTTACAAAGCAATGACTTGGCTCGATAAAATGTCATTCTATGGGCGCCTATTTTTTCTTATTTTTAAAACCTTTTCTACTACATAACGATAAGGTACCTACATATTTCTCATGTCAATTTATTTTTTTACATACAAAAATAAGATTGAAGATCTACTTGCAGAATTTTTTGTATCAGCAAAAAAGTAAGTACTTAATGTGAAATAGTTTTTATCTTTTATTAGCCACATATAATGCCAACATAATGCATAGGAACCTTCGTTGCAATAAAATATTTAAAGGAAGAGGGACGGACGAAGTCTCTCGTAACATTAATTAAGAAACTCCCTATTCCCGTCAAATGCAAAGTAAAATATGAAGGGAACGGATAGCACGTGCATTCAATCTGCTTTTAATTTCATGACAAAAAATATGCTTATATTTCATGTAGGTACATAAATGTAGAAAATGAATTCATATGAACGTTTTGCAACCATGACCGAAATGTTCTTTAATACTCTTATGAAGTTATTTTTAAAGAGGAAGAAGAAGTAAAAATCCTGCAGATGTACGTAATTCGATTCTCTGAATGTTATGAACTTTTCATCACATTAAATTTTGAAATTATCAAAATGATGAAAATCTGTTGAAAAGTGTTTGATTTCTAAACAGATAAGTCTAATTTACGGTAGAAAGGTTAGATTCGCTATTGCACACTCAAGTGATAGCAAAACGACATTATTTCTACAATTATAAGCTTATACCTACTTTTTCGCCATAATCTGACAGGAGTTATCTCTTATCAATGATTATCTTTCTTTGTAATCACAGCCGAGGCACTGAACTGCTCTTGCGAGGAGATATGAATCTAATATTCAAACATTTACGCAAATATATCGTTCAAATCTGATATTTTAATCTAGATTACACAGACGCTCACAAATATCTTCTGCACGTCCCGTTCTTTGTTTTAATGTTTTGTTAATACGTCCATTCATAAAAACTAGCCTGCCATTTGTTTTAGTCAGTGGGGGAGTATTTAAGACTCTATGTATGGGAAATAAAGGACGCTGCTCTTCCCATTTTAGCCCGTTATTCACGCGCAAATTGCCTATTATATGTGCTTTATTGTGACATTTTATAATACATATAGTAATCAGAAACTTGATAATGATCAGATTAAAGGTTTTGATTATTTGTTAGTCAGATAATATTCTCAAATATTTTCATGCACTATTACGTTACTGATTAGATAATGCCAACTATTTTAACGCCAATGTTCACAAAATAGAAGCCATCTTAAAGAGCAATAAGTTTTAATGAGGTACTGGAATGTAATATTTCATGACTACTTTAATAGAATAGATTAGTTTTGGTTATCTTTTTACATTTAAGGGGTATCAAAGAGTTAGTTATATCTTACCAGTCTAATGTATTTTTCAATATTTGATTTATTTTTTTTATAATAATTAACTGTCAAAACAATGCTTATTTGAACTCATATAATTTTCCTATATCTAAAGTAAAATGCCATGTTCACTGTTGTACCTTATTTGTTGTTAATACAAGATATTGGAAAAGAAGCGTATATTTTGTAACCAATGTTATGTTGTGGTCCGTATTTGGAATTTGACTATCGTCAATGAGGAATTCAAACTATGTTCTAACATGATATGTGTGTGCATACATGTATAACATGTTTGTATAAATGAAAGTTTATCGTAGAAAGTTTTACACAGTGTCTTCAGTTGCAAAATAACAATACCCTACCCCTCCTGGACGCACCCCAACAGCCGCGGTTATCGTGACCAAATTATGAGTGGAACCAATACACATGTAGCACGGATACATCAAAGGAATAAAAATACTTCGCAAGCACTTATAGGACAGTACAGGAATTTGGTCATGTTTACTATTTGTCACAACGTTAATGGCACACGCGTAAAAGCCTCCGCCCAACTATGTTGGACACCATCCACACGCCACCTGGTTGATAATTTTAGACATTTGTATACAAATTACAAAATAACTTCAATGCCAAATGTGCGGAATTGGAACCCCGCTGAGGATTTTTACGTGTTTAAGTTTTTGATCTACCGGTACGATAATTATTGTATTTAACATGCAATTCGTTCATAAGTTAAATAAAGTAGGTACTCTTCAACTAAGTAACTAGGAGGGATTTTGTTGCTGTCAGAAGTACCTGACAACCGAACAGTCAAAGCGTTCGTGCTATAGCTATCAGCCCGGTCATAACTTCTGAATTTTTGTCACAAACAAATTTGGCATGTAATAATGTGGGGTTTACATTTTTTAGGGAAATGTGACCGAGATTTCATAACTCATTTGATTTTAAGAGGAGTCTATTAGAAGGTAATTGCCCCCTTAATGGTGCATATCGAATCATTAAATACAATTGTCTGTGCTTGGAAATGATTACTGAAATGTTTGGCACAAATTTATTCCAGTTTTTCTCTCATTAATGTAGTATACAACAATAAAAACAAATTCTTATTTTGTCAATAGGGTAAATTATTCTCTTCTTTAAAAACTTCTGTGTGGTCTTTAATGTTCGTCTGCAGAATTTTGATCTTTTTCTGGGGATTAGATAAAAGTCAGCGGCACGTGACATTTCCTCACGTGCAGTTTTCGACTAAAATTGTTCAAAAACATGTTGTCATAGCATTACATTTTGTTAAAGTATCATAGAGACGTAAACTTGATTTTTGTCGTTCTCCTTGCTTCCTCATATGCTCAACCTATTGGAAATCTCGCAAAATCTCGCAGAATATTCGAGAAATCGCAGCGTCCTTGCAAACAGATGTCATCTAATGTTATATCGTCTGTTCATTTTGACACTTCCTCTGTCAGAACCTTACTTCTACTCAGAAGAACTCATACATTGCAGCGACCGCCGGAAGGTAACTGAAATATTAATGTCAGAATTTATCAAAATCTGGGCAAATATTAAACGCAAGCCGTTGTATTTGCTCTCGCTAGAGCCCCGCTTAGTGATCAAATATTCATGTGATGCGTCAATTATTGAATGCTAAATCTGATTAAATCAGTCACGAAGAATAAAAAAGGTAATTGCGCACGCATGCATTAAATTTGTATTGTTTTACACAACGGGGCCGGCGGACAGCATTGCTTGGTGTATTCGTTGACGTGCGTATAGTCGCTATTTCGCGGTCTCTGCGTTTCCTTTGTTTTATTTACATAATCTGTATTCCAGGTTTGATATAGAATATATCCCACGCTATCGCGTGACCCACAGATCCGTATCAGTCGATATATGGGAGATATGAATATCTATCTACTGTCTTCTATCTTGATGTGTTTAAGATATTTAATATTATGGAGATAAAGCAAAGGGTTATCACAATAAATTAGGAGCTATTCAGACATATTATTGGACACCGTCTATTAGTTTTGATCCTGATAGCGTACAAAGTTAGACCTAAACGTTTAGCATCTGTTAGTCGGGTCGTCGAACTTATGACTTTTTTAATCATATCTGCGTTCCGATGAACATTGTCTTGACCCGTGTGTTCGTACCAATGGAAAACTATGAGAACGGTACGATTTGAATAAATGTCTTTAAGCGTTTCTTTTGTTCTTTACAAATGTATGCGTGTGACCAAAATGTTGTGAAACAATATGATAGTTAAGTTAAACGTAAAAAATGAATATAAAATAACTTTTAACTTGTATATCAAATTAAATAATGAGAATTGAATTAAGAAAATAAATCAGACAAACGTTTTTCTACAACTACGTTATAAAATAGACATTTTAATTAAATTCTCTTATAATAATATATATTTTTGTATAATCTTCAAAGGATAAACAAACATGTTATGTAATAATGGCATACTTTCTTCTCTAGAACAGCAGTTATGTTATTTATAACATTTGTAAACATGTACGTAATGCATCGAAACAACAACTTACAACATAATTATAAAGTTTTCATCATTTTGAAAGCAACCGTGTTTTTGTAATACAAAAGGACCTCCTCTTACAACACGATATTGTATTACTTTTTTTGATAGCAAAAACACTTTCTTCCAGCATACGGCACAGTCATTTTATTTTCTTCCGAAATCTGGCTTTACAGGATCCCTTCTTTTAACATTTAGCTTCAATCAACAACCGTTACTAATTGAATAAGATGGCTGTCTTAAATTAACATGTCCTATGGTAACCGAATACCCCTAAAATAACGTTTCAATGACTATAACGTTACTCTTAGGTCAATATCTTTTGCTCGAGTTGCGCAAGATACAATTATCGTCTGCTTGAGTAAATATCATTCAATTATTATTTTCAAATTAGAAATAACCTTTCGTAATCCTTATTAAATAAACTATAATTACATTTATAGCGGAAAGACGATTTTCATTAGTGAAACGTACGCCCGGGCACACTTTTTGGTTTCTAGGAGATTTCTTTGTCGCGTGGAGTGGCTATCAATATACAGCATCAATTATCGTTTGGACGTAGTCAAGCGTTTTTGTGACCAGGTGCCCCAAAGGTCAAGGTCTAATATTGCGGATAGCGCCAATTTTACGATTTAATAATAAAAAACTTTATTAGTATCTGCTTTTCATAGACTTGGTCAGTGTTGATTAAACACAGCAAAGTGATATAGATCTAATGTCAAATAACTCATTAGAAGTGTTGTATACACGTACAGAGGCAGCACCATCATCATAAAGTCGTCGCGACAATTTATCATTCATTCATGTCGCTTAAATCATTAATATTTCACATTAAATGAAATTATCAATAAAATACATTGCAAATTTCCTACTGATGTATTTCATAAAATCAATTCCCGTCCGTTTTTCCCGCCATGTCTATGAGCGTCTCTAATAGCAGATGCTTTCAAAAAGCAGACGACAAAAAATCAAAGCATCAACAGACAATTCATCAAGTGGACTCGAGTGCGCTGACGTTTAGAGCTAAACACTATGGAGATAATTAAGTTTTCTCTTTGTTCTGCCTCTTATGCTAACTTAATAACCACAAAAGCCTGTTATTAAAGTAAGGAGAATATCAGACGATTTATCAATATGGTCAGCGCGCGAGACTTTTACTGTCGTCTGCGGCAGACCAATGAAAATCAGAGCATCATAAAAATTGGTGATTTAATTCATTTGGACCATACTGACCTTGTTGCCAGTAATAATGATCAAGTCATGGGTGAATATATGCCCGAGCAGACGATCATAACAATATTGATGTGCAGTCAAATCATTTACAAACTTTAACACTAGACGTGCAATCTCCTCAAACGTAAACATGATATTTAAATTTTGAAAATGAACTTTTAAGAACACTAATTTTAACTCTGATTGCAACATGAATCAGTCTTACTTTGATTGAAATTACAAATTATATCCTTTACACTGTTCTCTCATAGATCTAGTTCAATTTCAGATCTCGGATTTAGCTAGTTTGAATATTTCAGCGTGATTGAAAGGAAACCTAGATGCATTGCGATTCTGCTTCCGTATTTTATGCTGAAGTCATATGGGACAATATGGCATTGACCCCAGTTGAAACCTAGCTGCACTCCAATGATACCTTGCAATGCTAGACTATAGCTGACGTCACAGCTGCGTCTGTCTGGTAAGAGACAGCACATCAATTCTTATGTATATTAAAGTGGATTGGCCTACATTGGGCACACTTTCCATAAGAATTTAAGATATTGATAAAAAAAAACACAATAAAAATGTATCATTTGGATTTGCTAATAGAGTATTTCTTGAAAATATATATTAATTCAGATAAGATAAAAGATAATATTTTCTTTGAGGACAATTTATTATCTGCTATATATAGAAATGATATGTAGGATCATGCATCTCACACTTACCAATGACCTCCACATATAACTATTAGTCTATTACATGGTTTATTGTCACATATGATTGTTAAACACATATATTCTTTTACTTGGAGCTCATACGCCACTTTTCATGGAATCGCACGAAAGTGTCTCAATGAAGGTTCCATGATCACATCTGCGGATGTTTCTAAATTCAAATTTTCACAAATTTTTGTTAAAATGATTAATTATGCTCCAGACGGTGCTAGGGGGCGTGGATGGTTGCTTGCAATTTCCAGTACTGTCCATGAAACATGTTCACTGCAACAGTTTTAAAATATTGCCGGTTTTGGCGTTCTTTTATAGGGATTCTGTTTTTTATTGGATTTTAATACTATCAGCATAATAATTTATGGTAAAACACACGTACAAAGTCACGTTAATGTACTTTCTCTAATAGTACATTCTGTAGTGTTTGTGTGACAGACGATAACTATTTGTATGAATTTTTAATTGCCATTAAAAAGTGTGTAGTAATATCTATAATTGCTTTTAGTTCATAAATAGAATTATAAAGTAGAATTAGTTTATTGTAGATTGTACGAAACAAACATTTGTCATTCTGATTTCACAACACTTTAAACTATCGTTGCCAATCACCCTTTTAAGATACAATGTACTACGTTTATACTATGTTTTGTTCTTAATTGTCAATAAGAGAAAAAACAATCATCAGCGGCAACGATTTTCAAACAATTTAGAATATAAGAATTGGAGTACTTTTAAGTAGGTATATCTCCGTGTTGTATGTAGTATCACTGTACATAATATGTTCCATACAGTTGCTTCTCCTCCACGATGCCCCACTTGTTGTTTATTTAAAATGACATCTAAACAGTAAGTGATTAGTATGAGTCAAAAGCACATTGTGTTAAAGATTTAATTTGCTTGGACAATACTTCTTTTGCTGTGACGTCACTACCGCGTACATCTTATGGTAAAATAGATTTCCTCATAGGCAAAATATCACATTGACAGAGTATATACAGTAAATGTCAAAAAAGACCATAAAGTTCAACTGTTTTGGACCTTTTTTGCATGTATTCAAACATTCTTAAAATTTAAAAAGACTCTGTTGGCTGTAAACCGGAACTGCTGTTTGACAAAATGTTACATGTATTTTAGTACACTGCACTCTTATTTATATCGTTTGATATATACCTTTTCACCAATATTGAAGGTAATGTTTGCTTTTAATGAGGACGAGTTATTTTTTAATTCAGAACGAAAATATGAATTTAACTGCTTCGTAGAAATATCTGTCCTTGTTAAGACATTAACAACGATTTTGTGCTAAAAATAGACACAAATATGACCATAAAACAAGTGTTGCGCAAACACAGCCTGCATTTAACACGATAAAAATGATGGATTCACAAATAAACAATACAATCTCCCGGCATTGTTATGACAAGATTCTAGGAAGACGCCCTGGTTTCCAGGAAACGCGCGCGACCTGATGCCCTCGATATTACCATCAGGTGCACGATGAATATTTATAAAGTAGTACATCAATGAAAATATCATGAAAATTCGCCATATTCGTAATGACCATTTTGCAGGTGTAAAGTATTTTCTTAGATTCGGGAAAACTGAGTTGGTTTACGTTGGTTGCTGTTGCGAAATCTAAAAATCGTTTCCCCGAATGGTTCGGCATACTTTCCCTTAGTTTTCTTTCAAATTTTTTCACATGTATGGAACAATTTGATAAAAATTGGTATCATATAGAGTATGCGATTTTGAAACGTTCATTCTCCGAAATATATAGATACATTTATCATATTGTTCTTCTTTTATTGTTGTTGTCATATGTATTGTTGTTGTTGAGAAGAGAGCTGATCTGGTACCTAGTTCTGATTATACTGATGGTTAAACGGGCTTTATAAAGTACTTGTACTTTAAGCGCTCCAAAGGAATATCTGAGAAAGTATTACTTGTTTATGTGATTCGATATTTATTGTTTTCACTAATTGGCAGACGATCTTTCTCGACAACTTGACAGACCAGGGAATACAGGTTTATCTAA